GGGATTTCATGACTAATGAGTTAAAGGTTTACGTTAAAACTGACAGGAATTTAATCAATAAAAGCAACGTGATCTATAAATAATAATATGACACCGGTATATAGGTTTTTATTGTGCGCTTTCTTTCTTAGTTAAGTAGTTTGCTAGTTAATGTAATTAATGTATTCCTGTTAATATAGTTAATGTATTCTTTGCGTAATTTTTCACACGACTCCTAGGAAGACCATTTTTATGATAAGATGTCTTGTCTAAATAAAGATTAATTGATAATTATGGTAGATCTAACATGTATCTTGAAAAATAAACACTTAACTTTGCGAGCAAGGTCTAACATCTGAACTGTTCTCGAGCATGAATTGTTGGCATAACACAGTGTCTTCACCTAGGCAATGGACTAGGAGTAGCAAATGTACTCCTAGTAGCATCATGCTGCAGAAAAAAAGATAAGCTTGGGTAATGTGGGCTTCCTGAGTGTAGGCAAAATCATTCATTTACTTTATTTCCTTTATTACTGGCTCTGAAGGAGCATGAGAACGACATACCGGTACATAATGATAGTAAATCTAACTTCTGTTTTCAAGGCTAAACATAGTAATAGTAAGACTTCAATAGTAATTAGATAAGGTCTAACAAACAAAAAGTAGAGCTAAACAAAACAATTTTGTTCCCAGGACCTCTCTTTGTTTGCCCCCAAGAGCTAGAGAGACCCTGGTAACAAGGTCGTCAGTCAAAGACAAATTATGCTGACAAGCAAACTGAACTGTCTCTTTTGTCTCCTGTGTTTCACAGGTTTCTTCTGAAGACAAAAAGATTACTGTCAGTAAACCCACAGAGGTAATTATAACCTAAATAAAGATATAAATGTTTAAGTAACCAGCTATAATAACAATTTTATTAGTACTGATTATTAAAACCTCTTTTGAAGAACTCTAACTTGAATAACTAACATTGAAAGAAATGCATTTAATGTAAGGACAATAACAAAAGCAGCAAACAAAAGCAAAGAGCTGAGCACTAATAGGCATAATTAATTATACCCCTGCCTAATAAAATAATTTATTTATTTATTTGTTAATAAATTAATTGACAATATAGTTGACAGTTACATGTGATAATTTACATTGTCCATGGCTAGTCTTCCGCAGCTCGTTTCGTCCTGGCTGAGAGACTCATCAGAGACCTTTCTGCCTTGCAAACTCGATGGGCATAGTGCCCAAAGTCCTGGGACTTTTTCTGTAACACTAGCTGCTAACAATGTGTTGTCACAAACGAATAACTAAATTAATTAATTATACACTATACCCTTGCCTATAAATAAATGGTATCTAATGATGATATCATTCAGTATTTTGTGCCTCGAGATGGGTGTTTTTAGGTTAATTAAGGTCTGCTCTGCTTGTTAAACATGTAAAATTGTATTGCTTTTGCAATGTCTTTCAGTTCCGTCCACAACAAATCAACCTTTACAACAAGTCAAGGCCAACTCTATGACACTTCTCAGAAGTAGCCCAGGAATGGGACTTGGTGGAGTGAAAATAAACAGTTCTCGACCTCCAATGCGTCTTGGACTTTCAAGAAATGTACGGGTCAAACCGCTGCATTCACATGTGTCCGTACAACATTGAAACTGGAACTTGAAAAGATTTCATGAACACTGTCTGTTTTCATCACCATGTACGCTTGCCATTCTGTCAAATGAACCTTTCAGGACAAAAAAACTGAATCAGATTGAAAAATCAAAATGTATTCAGTCATGGAATTCCTTGCCTGCCATTTCTTATCAACAGCAGAATGATCTATTCCAGATCAGAGACAGTAGTCCTTTACAAGACTCAGGAAGTGATACATACACAAACAAGAAACACAAAATGCTGCATGTGGTTCTTTGCACTTAAATCAGTTTTAATAAACGACATTGGAAAAAAAAAACTTTTTAGACTGAAAGGTTTATATTAAACCATAATCAGAATTTGAAAGTTGCAACACATTTTTTTTCTCTTAGCTTACAGTCATGGTAGTGGTATGCCATATTTTTTAGTTCTAAACATGATGATTGTTGAAATTCGACTGTACATGATCATTGTGTAGTTTAAAGGAAGTTTTAAGGATAAATTATAATAAAGTGACTGCAGACTCTCTATTTTTTGTATTCTGGTATTAGTATAGGTAAACTTATGAATGCGACTGCAATTAAGGATTACGAGTGATAATAAGGATTACGAGTGACATTTGTAAATTCTCTCAAAATTGGTGTACAACCTTTTATATGGAAATGCATTTTTCTAGCTCAATTATTGTCTAACAAATCGGACTCATTTCCATGTGAAAGGTTGTACACCAGGACTTGTTTTGAAACAGAGGGGAAAATAGCAACTGAGAAGAGGCTCATTGGATGGCATGAAGTCCTGTCATCAAGTTCAAAACTACAGTGTATTACAACAACAGCCATGGTTGTCCTGTTAGTGCCAATTTTGTTTTTTTCAGTATTCCCAACTATTTCTCGTCTGATGATTTTGCAAGGGCTGGAGAGCAATGCTCCCCAATAATTTTAATGCACCCCATACAAACCTTGAATTAATTTATGGTCAGTCCAAATAGGCCAATTTTGATATTAAAATTCGAACTGAACTCTGAGGCTTAGGGAATAAAACGGAAAGAAATCACATTGGGGTTGAGCGATAAATAATTTATCCCTTTTTCTTTGTTCTCTAAAGCCTCAGAGCCAAGTTAACGGATCTGGTAATCAAATAATATTATGGTCAAACCTCTCCGTAACAGCCACCTTGGGGACTGAGGAATGACTGCTGTAGAGAGGTGCCTGTTATTGAGCGGAAGGGGTGTAATATGACACCTGTTTTTTTCAGGGTGCAACTTCTTATAATTATATATATCAAATGTATCAATAAAATGTAACTTAACAGAAACAGAGAATAATGATACAAGAGACGGATCAAGTTTCGTGACCTACAAATATAAAAAAAAAATGGGTTTTTTGGTATACACTGTCAGTTGTTCACTAACTGGCCATTGTCAAGAAGGTATTTTGGCAGTTGGGATGAGTTGTAATGGCTGTTGCTATTGTGGAGAGGTGGCTGTTGAAGAGAGATTAAGATAAAAGTGAATATCAGTGGACTGTCCACCACGCCCAAAAAAGTGGCCATTCTAGATTGGTGGCTGTTAGTGGAGGTTCAACTGTATGTTCCCTGAATTACAGTGAAAATTTGTTTTTTCCATTTTTTTTTATTATCATTTCACTCATCAAAACAGTACAGCAATTAATCCATAAAGCAGCCATATATCATGTAATGATTAGTCATTACTGTGAACTGCTTTGCAGTCTAAGAAACATGTTTAATCACTACACAGGAGTCGAATCACATTTTTATTTCAATCACCACTTAGCTCTTACTAATAAAAATTTGAATCTTAATAGACATGCGCATGAGAAACTTCCAAAAATATGGCTTAAATGAGGCAAAAAGCTAAACACAAGGAAATCAGATATCAGAGAAAATACTTTCTTTGTACAGAAAATTGTATGCATACATCATAGACACATGGTGTTCAATTGGATACACAGCTGTAGCTATCTGGATGCATTGCAGGCTTACGGTATTAGGCAATAATTTTAAATCTTATTAAATTAATTTTTGTTAAAAGTGTGAGTTCAATCTTGTATCATTAAATTAATTTGTGTTAAAAGTATCTTGTATGGAGATGGGCCATAACTTTTATTTCTTTCTGTTAGAGAAAAGTTATTTTCTTTGGAACAATGCATTAATTTTCTACTTCAACCCCATTCATACTACTGAAATAATCTCTTGTACAAAGCATTAAGAAGTATCATGAAGGAAACCAGCGTAAATCAACAGTAAAGAACTTGTATTGTTTATACGCAAAAGATACTAATACTGTATTGTTTATACGCAAAAGACAAAGCTTTGTATGCTTAAAAACGGTGAAATTTTCCAAATTGAGGAAGCAGAGCTCTCTTTTTGTTGGTAATGAATCTAGAGTCAAACTAACATTATTAACAATCAAACTGATGGTAAAACTCAATTAAAGAACATACAAATTGACAAGAATATCCACACAAAATCAGGAATTTTGAGTTTTGAATGAGCACAAAATAAACTTACATTAAGGTCAACATTCCTGCATCAATTGACATATTGCAACCTGTCTATTAAGGGTAAAGAAAATCATACTAATAGTAAGAATTAACAAAATAGCCCAAAAGCCTCTTTCCAAGGGCAAAACTACTTTGCTCTGGTCTCTTAAGCCACGAAATTGAAAAGACAACAACTTAAGCAAAGAATTAGCATTTCATTGATGGAAATTTGTCCAACATTGAGGTCATTACATGACTGTTGAGGAAAAAAGCCCTTTAAGCCTTCACGCAGATACTGGAATTCTCCCTATCTTATGCTTCTTATTGTACAGGTTGGGAGAAACTGAACTTTCATAGATTAACACAATCTCCGTCAGGCTTTGTTTGAGATCAGTTACATTTATTCTCATGAAATCCACCCTTGGCTTTTTGCAGAGAAACATAGAATCTTGCCAAACTAACCCCACTAACAACATCACCAATGGACCACAAAAATATGGTCATATTAACAATATCGTTGCCTCAAAGGTGTTCTTAAATAAAGAAGATGACTGAGTTTTTTCCGGAAAGTGACCAAAACAACGACACGGTCTCAATGATTATTGAGTGGTTATAAGGTAGTTTTGTAAAATGATGACTGATTTCAATACCTCAAAAAGAGAATAACAATTGTCATCTTGGTCATTGATTTGGATGTCGTTAAAATACGCAGAGCACTACATGTAACTGGACATACTAGTTATTATCCCTGCCATGCCATTAATTGCAGTCTTTCAACTACTGTACAAACCCCTAGCTGACACAAAGAGTTGTGCCCAAGTCAAAATTTTGAAAACAAAGAAAAAAACTGAAAAGGATAAACTTCATTCTGTATTTCCAGTATCACTAAATAAATCTATAGTCTGTGAACTGGTCACACACCAGGGTTTATCCAGTGGATAAACCGACTTAAGAATTGACTGGGTATGACAGGGTTAATAACACTTAATAACATGGGCCCAGACATTCTAAATCTCTAATCTATGTCACTTTAATATTGAAGAAAACAGGAATACAAATAAAACTCACAAGTAAGGTTAGGAAGTCCCCGTTACAAATCTTACATACCCACTTTCCACGGCGCTGAGTTCATTTTCATCGAAACAATCTTAATGTGCATTTATACAATAATATGCTACATTCAGACAGTCATGTTCTGTCAACCTGGGGATGATTTGAAAAGCCTGCACCATTATTTTAAAAGACTGGCAAATATTCCACCTCTATATTACAAAAGTGTACAACAATAACTTTTGCTTTGTTGTTGGACAACAATCATTGTCTGCGCCATAACAAATAAAAGCCAAGTGCGCAAATACATCCAAACACAAAGAAGACCTCCAGGTCGTGCCTTTGTCGTAAACTCTTGAAGTAGTCCACAACAGCTTCCTGCAAAGAAGGAACTGCGATTAGTGGTCTTTGCCATTTCACTAAGAAACCAACTACTTCAATTTCTGATACACGCCAAGTGGCCAATCAAGCCAGAGCTTATCCCAGGTTCTGTAGCATTAAGCGACTAGGAGTATTTCTGCTACCCCCTGGATGGGATGCTAGTCCATCGCAGGGTTACCCCCAGCATTAAGTTCACCAGTACCCATTTATACACCTGGGTGGACAGAGGCACTGTGAGAGTAAAGTGTCTTGCCCAAGAACACAGCACAATGTCCCCAGTCAGGGTTCAAACCCGGACCCCTCGATCCGGAGATGAGCACACTAACCATGAGGCCACTGCAACTCCCAACAAATTCAATTTCTGAGCCACCTACTATTTATGAAATAATATGCGAGTATGTTGTAAAAAGTAATTTGGGAAAACACAGTTTTTTTGGAATGTGACTGAACCTTGACTGTCCTTGTCTCAGGGCAGTCAAGGCTGTAGCTAGGGGGCATGGGGTCAGGGCATGGTATAGGTTTTCAATCATGCTAGCGCTGCAAGATAAAAATTGAAAATAGTCTTTGTAATCCCTTAACATTGTTGACATTTTGGCCTTATCCAAAATTGAGAGAATGTGTAAAATAGCATTTCAGAGCTTATCAATTTTAAAATTTTCTGGAGGAACATGCCCCAAGACCTCTGTCCCTTCAGCACTCAAATCGGTGACAGCAGTCTGCTTCATGAAACAAGCCCTGTACTGCCTAAATTGATGAGAACCCTGCTTTCATTTAGCATTAAGTCTGGTACCCACATTATTATGATTAGAACTGATTCAACCTTAAAAAATCTTCTTTACAGTATTAGTGCTATATAAATGTATAATTATTATTATTATTATAATTATTATTTATTGTTAACATTTCATATTGACCTGATGATTTACTGATATTACAAGAAAAACATACTAGATGCTGTGTACTAAAAAAATCAAGGGTCAATATTATTAATGAAAATATTTCATAACAAATAAACAAGGCCAGAAACTTAGGATTCTAAAAGATCGAACCACTAACAATACTCACCCAGCCTCCTTGCTCAAATATCCACTTTGCAAGTCGGTCCTTGATAAACTGGCAAACCCATTGAATGATCATTTTAATGAGGGGTATCTCATTTATCACTCGTACTGCTAGCTTGTAGCCAAAGTAGAAAAGAGTCACTATTCTGCCCCAGTTGACAACACCATCGTTAAATATTTGCACTCCAACTTGGAGAAAAGTTTCAAAGGCAGTGTCTTTAGTAACAACCACTTGTTTTATTAGACCATTCAATGACGCATCATTGGATAAACGATCCCCAATGTCACGTATAACATGGGCGACATCTTTGTTAACTTTTCTTTGACTTTCGCTGAGTTCTTGTGGAACTGCCAAGCCATCAGCACGAAAACACTCTGTTAAAAATGTTGTGACAATAGCAGGTGCCTGTCCCGATACTTCATCAACACTATTTGCCCTGTGAAAGGGTGGTCTTTCCTCCTGATTTCCATCTTCATCATCTGAGTCTTGTCGATTTCGACCAGGGGCCATTTTGCATGGATCACTCTAAAGGAAAATAAAAAATAAATGTCTTTAGTTATTTCCATGACTTAACTATTTATCCAAATTAATTTAAAATGTCAAACTTAACGCTGTAAATAAAAAAAAAACCATTTCGTCACTATTTCTGCTTGAACGGTTAAACAACAAGTTAACTCTCTCAAACATCACCTTGGGCTAGATCTATGAATTCCACCTAGTGTATTCTTTCACTTAGGACTCTAATTTAGTTTTGTGGTGACAATTTCAACCTAAAAGCAAAACTAATGGCAAACAAGGATTTTATCCCAAAAGTGCTCAGTGACACAAAAATAAACATACACAAGAATAATTTATTATTATTCTAAAATGAATATAACAAACTAGTCAATTTGACCTGGGATGCTTAAGTAATTTTTAAGAAAAACTCAAGTGTTTTGCATTCAAGGACATCTCGGACTCTCCAAAACTTGGCGAAATTTGACAAAGTTTTCCTTTACCAAACTCACTGGTTTGGCATGGCATCTGATATTAAACAAGAAATTGTGACCACAAATATTCCAGATGAAAAGAACAACATCAATCAGCAATATTTTTGGAAAATCTTTATAAGACACTCTTTGTCTCTAATTTTAGATTCAATGAACGCCTCTAAAATTAGAACAAGACACTGAAAATCTTGATTCAAATTTCAAAACCGGCATGTTCTTTTCTCACAATGGATTTCAGTGAGTCATTTCTATAAATGTGTTCAGGTGTCGGTTATGTTTCTTAAAATAGCATCCCACACGATTCACATGAAGTGTACACTTATCACCTGTGCCCACTTTATCTCATTCAAAATTAGAACAAACAACGTTTGTAACTCCAGTCAAGATAAACTCAAACATCTCTAAATCATGTCACTCGTTCAGGACAACAATACTTCTGCACGGACAAACGCCAACACCGAAATATCTACACCGTATTAAGCATCATTAAATTTCCAATTAGAAAACAAATAACTTGATTATTTACATTTTCATGACCGTTTTTAAAGGGGTAGAGAACTTAAGCTAATTATTGTCTGTGACTCGTCTCCAAGTCGATGAACGAAAAATATTATCTTTGTTATGGAAGTTACTCCTTAATCAAGCAATAACTCATCGAGAATTTTCTTGTTTATCGTTGACTTATGACTTAAGGAAAAAGATTTGTACGAATTAACACCGCTACAGAAGTAATTTGAATGTTATTTGAAATGGAACAGGCATCATTCGTTCTTCAGGTTCTCTCAAAGACAACTTGCAGCGGCAACAGAAATATAAATTCTTGCGCAACGACAAACAAATTAGAAAAAAGTCCCATCGATCCAGACTGTTAAATCCTGTCAATTATTTTTTGTCTAAGCTGTTTATCGGAATGAGAGATAAACGTAAACTCTATAAAAGAGGTAACATACATGTAATTTCCAACCGAAATTCCAACAGGCATCGCTGTCAAGCTGATTCAGGTCGCGTGCCGTTTACAGCCGTCAAAGAGAACTTGAGCTTTTTAAAAAGGAAATTCAACCAGGATTATAGATTGGCTTAATAAAAATTTAGCTCGATAACTGAAGGAAACATTATTGGCGACAGCTTGATGTCGAATACTTCGAAAAATCTCAATATTTCAGCAACGAAATCGACATGAGCTGTTTAAAAGCGGCCAACAAGAAAACCTTCGCGAGGGAATGACGTTCAATTTTTTTTACACCAACAACAAACTCACCGGCACAGACAAGGTGGAAATAATCCCCTGACCTATAGATTCTCTCTGCTTTCAAAAGCGATTTTTTTTCACGTCTTTCACGTCTGACTCTCAATCCAAGACTGTGTTGACCCAAGTCATGGCGGAAAAGAATCTATAAGCGATCAAGTGTTTGGCCTTGAAAGACGCGATTTGATTGGACAAATTATAGTACAACTTCTGTGATTCGCTAGCTTTCTTTCAAGTGTAGTGATGTCATTTCAATGACGCGCGCCAACTTCAAAGTGGTCACAAACAGATTTTTTTTCCCGCGAAAAAAATTATTCTTTCGATTGCTCTGATAAAATGCTCTTTTAACAAGCTATCGTCGGAAATTCATATCATCTAACGGATTAGATGGTTCGATGAAGCGGTTTAAGAGGATTTTTGTTTACTTAACAAAATAAAACGGTAAGTTAGACCAGATAACACAAACAAAAGGGGCCATCTGTCGCGACGGTTCCCATTAAAACTACGTGCCCAGACGTGCCTCCGAAACTAATTGATGATGTTTTACACGGTAACAAAAGAATATGAGGTATTCAAAGCAATCAATTTCGTCATAGTGATTGAATTCGATTTTCGCTTCACACATGACAGCTATTTTCGGACGTGACTCAAGAATTATGTTGTTTTTCACCTCCGTTTAACCCTGGGTGAAGCAAGACCAAACACGCTAAAGAGACTGGAGCAAAAGGCTTGCGATAGCTCAAACTGAAAATTTTTCGGCGTTTTCCAATACGGAAAAAAAAACTAAACAAGCTCGTCATTTGCATTCAAAGCGAAAATTTGATTATTGGTAAATCGAGCATGTTTTACACGTGCTTTCTGTTATGACAAAGCAGACGAAGGGTATTCCCCTAGTTAATTATTCATACCTAAGCGCGGCCGCCTGTTTTGATGTACTTCGGTGTATATAAACAGAATTTCCTTAACAAAAAAAGACCAGGACCCGTTCAAAAAAAAAAAAAATGATCTTGCTTGTATACACTGCCTCCTGATAATTGTTTTGTGAAAACTGGAACAATGGTTTTCCATTAGAAGCTTGCGTGTTCTTTGTTGCGCTGTCAATTCAAAGGGCGTCATTGTATTCCGGGTGGAAAATTCTCGTTTCCTAGATACTTACTTCAGGGAAGCAATCCCGATAAACATTTACGTTGAAAGGAAAACAAAGCGTTATCAGTTTCATTGCTCGGCATGATGCAACAATTTCATAATTGTTATCGAGAAAAAGATTTTAATCCGTGAAGCATTATGAACACTCAAATCCGAGATTAAATAAATGGGGTCGGCCCTCCGGGTTTTGCAACCCTAAATGTCGTGCGATGCTACGCAACATTCGGCAATGAGGTAAATGACGGTGCGAAAAACTTATTCCAAATACATAAAATAATCAATTAGAACAGCAAGGAAGAGCAAAAAAATGTTGTCTTTTCGGAGAGCGAGGACTACAAAAATTAAATGGCAAATCAGTAAAATGACAGATCCAGAAAACAAGGAATGGGAAACTAGCGAGCGTACCTTTTGTACATGAAATTAACAGGAAAAACTAAACTGTTACATCGAAATTTTTAGAACTGTAGTTACTAGTGTTTTCGCAGAGAAGATTTCAGGGTGAATATTTCGACACAAATTGAGAATATTGACTGCTACTTTTCAAACGAAAAAAAATTACGATCCTCTAAAACAAGAAAAGAACTGCGTCAACCCGTTTTCAAAATTACACGTAAAACTCTTAAACTCGAGCTTACCTTAAGTTTCGGTCGCTGCGTTTCGGAGGAAACTACGGAAGTTGATGGGTGAGTGACTAATATACTGTGTGCAGCAGAGATAACACATCAACCCAGTATGAGAAAATACAGCGGGAAGCCTTATATATCATCTGAGAGCGTGTTAAGATTATTCATCACGAAGCAGGTGCAGTCTCACTGTCTTTGTGCTACCGAGTGCCATGCAAGTTTGAACTTGTTCGTTTTTAGCCACGTGCAAGGACTGAAAGTGCTTTTGACTAAATTTAACTGAGTCCGCTGAAAATGTCCACTGGCTGTGAAAATAGGGACCCTAGAACGTCGCAACGGCTTAAATTTGCAACGTCAGCATGTATTTCTCACGTTCGAATTTGGATTGGGAATCTCCCTTGAGATTCGTATGCGTGCGACTTCAATTTTTGCCCTTATATGGATTGAAACGAGGAATTTCTTGATCGTGGCTCCTTCCTCATACTTATAAAGCTGAAATTAAAATAGCAGGGTTTTCCCCTACAAATAAAATGCAAATGTATTTAGGGTGTTTCCTCGGCTCGTTGGGAAAGACACGACAAGCAATCTTCCAACTCAGGCAAGGCTAATGGGAATAAAGCTCATTTAGGACCCAGTGTGGTTTAATTTTTTTTTTTTTTTTTTTCACATCTCCTGATCTGTAGGCTACGTGATGTAAAGACAATAAATGTATTTCCGTTTGTTTTCGTTAATATGCTTTGTTTGCAAATGCTACCTGCGTAAACTGAACCGGATCTGATTGAACTTGACCATTTGCATCGATCGTGCCAAGGTGAACCTTCAAGCCCGGTCTTCAAACGTTTCTCATTTTAAATGTCTCGTATGGCGAAGTACTTTACAGAGCATGGATAGAAAAAGGCATTCAGAAAAACAAACCACATTTGCTTATGGACAGTGTAATCATAATAGAAATATTTTGAGAAAATGAAAACACTTTTTCCGCGTTCCGTATCAAGTTTAAAAAAAAACGACATTTTAGCGCGTGCTTCTTTACATGGTGTTTTCTAATGAAAATAAGCAAGGAACAGTTTTTCGTGAGCATATTTTTAGAATAAAGCCGGAAAAGAAAGCGAAATGAAATTTTACAGTAAATCAGATTTTAACTATTTTAATTTTTATTTTCCAAATGTGCAGTTTCTATCGATCTGAGATTTCCGGTGTTCATTGGCCTTCGCCCTATGTATCGAATGAACACCCCCCTGGGAAATAACCCGAGCATTTTGACCCGTTTAAGTGCCCAGGAGGCGGGGATTTGTTTTCACCGGTTGTTATTGGGGTGGGAAATTTTACATCATGGGAGGGGTGTTTTGAAGACTAGCGGTGGGGAAGCTCAAGGACATTAATAAAGTACAACCCGTTATTTGTAACATCATGGCCTAAAAAAGATCTTTGTCT